TCAGACTCATCGTATAACGATGGTGCTGACTTAACTGAACACCATGGTTTGTCTAGTCCCTTGAGGTCATGATAGTTCGGAGGTCGAATACTATGAGAATCACATGTAGTTGTAATTAGCAATAGTTGCCTATCTTTTGGACTTAGTGTAATTAGTTTAGTCTATCGATGTTATACTAAGATGTCGATTGGATCCTGATCCCCACTAGAAATTTGTCGGAGATTTTTGATTCACATCCCGGAGGGAGTTGTATATGTTGTGAGAAAATAGTATGAGTAGATTAAGATGAAAGTTTATATCTTAATTATTTTACAAAATCTAAAATTTGCATGTTATTTACTTTTTTGTTACATCTTTATTTTTCTAAAAATATCGCTTTCAAATCTTTTGCGTGGCATACTTGATGTCAATCGTCTCATTAGTCTAAACTGTGTGTATTTGCTCTACAACTTAAGAATTGTTATCACAATTAAGAAAATCATGTAGTTACTTAATACAGTGGTGTCCACGCTTAAGGAAATACTAAGTGAGGATGAGATTACTAGCTACGCGAAGTACATAGACGACTCTACTCTTGCTCAGTGTTACATATTAGGCTCTATGACTCTCAAGTTATAAAGGCAACATAGAAAGATGGATGTCGAATCCATCTTCATTTAGCTCCACAAATTGTTTAAGGAATAGGGAAGGACTCAGCGATATAAGATATCTAAGAGTTTCTTCTAGATAGCTTGTGTATAGATCTTGTATTTCAATAGTTCATAATAAATTTTAATATGAACAAGCTTGAGGTAACTCTCTCAAGCTCCTCAATATGTTAAGAGAGATTGAGAAAAAGAAGCTACTTCTCTATGTTGGTTAGACTAAAAAGAAAAAGAAAGTAGAGAAGTCCCTTAAAAAGGGCAAGGGCAAGAGTAAAGCAAATTTTGCTAATAAAGATCCGACAAAGGGCAAAGGACAATGCTTCTAGTACAAAGATGAGTAATAGAAGATGAACTACAAAGAGTACATTGTAGAAAAGATAAAATAGAAGCTTGTAAAAGCTTTAGGTACATTCATGATTAATCTTTATCTATCTAAAAATTATGATAATGCATGAGTATTGGATACCAACAATGCATCTCATATCTGTAATTCATTTCAGGTTCTAGCAAGGCTTACAAAATTGGCAAGAGGCGAGGTAGACCTCAGGATGGGAAATGACATAAAGGTTGTCGTTGTTGCTATTGGCGATGTCAGCCTACAGTTGCTTGGTGGAGCTCTTCTAGTATTAGATGCTTGCTATTTTTTTATTTTAATTATCAAAAATATTATTTCAATTTTTATTTGATAAATAATGGATATAGATTAGTTTTTAAGAATAATGATTGTTCATTTATTTTAGATGATGAAATCATCAGTCGAGGAATGTTATATAATGGTTTATTTATATTAGATGTTGCTTCATATGTCATAAGTGTTAGTGTGTCTAAGAGAAAGTGAGATGAGATAAACAATTCATATCTGTGACATTATAGGCTAGGTCATATCCACGAGGGTAGAATTCAAAGATTGCTAAAGGATAGATACTTAGATTCATTTGATTATGAATTATATACAACCTGCAAGTCTTGCCTTCAAGGAAAATCGATAAATTCTTTATTTAGTGAAATTGGAGAGAGCCACTTAGTTGCTAGGACTCGTACATATTAATGTATGTGGTCCCATATCAACTTAGGTTATTGGTGGTTATTCACACTTTCTTATATTCATTGATAATTTTTCTAGGTATAAACACATGTACTTGATGAAATACAAGTCTGAAGCCTTCGAGAAATTTAAGAAATACAAGAATGAGGTAGAAAACCAGACTAGAAAGAGTATGAAGACTATTTGATCAAATCGAGGAGGATAGTACTTGAGTACAGAGTTCACCTAGTTTTTCAAAGATCATGGGAGACTATCCTAATAGACTCCTCCTTATACACCTCAATTCAATGGCGTGTCCGAAAGAAGGAAACACATTCTGTTAAATATAATATGATCCATGATAAATTTCGCTGACCTACCTATCTCATTCTAGGGATACACTATAGAGTTTGTAGCTTACCTTTCGAATATAGTTTCATCTAAAGCGATAGTGTCTACGTCATATGTGCTAGTCATAGATGCTCTACAAGTCAATCACGTGAGTGATGACATGTGTGACATGCTACGTAGTCTATTTGCTTATTATTATTATTGATATTTTCTCACTTTATGTTTGTGTGTTGCATATATTGTGATGTCCTTAGATATGTACAATGAGAATTGGATCATGATGAGATCATGATAATAAGACCAATTCGCCTATAAACATAGACTCTAAATATTTTCAATCATAGGTTACTCAAAAGAGACATCGAAATAGCTAGACAAACTAGTATGATACATGTCCATATAATGAAGGCGGTTGGTCTCAAAGCTGCTTGTGTGGGGACACTAGGGATATAGTGTATGTGCTCATTGAAGAATGAGTTCACTAAATGATTCGCTCACGAAATGTTGGATGGTTGATGATATCTCATTATCAGACGATCCTGTGGTCTATATGTTTGGTTCTTAGACTTGAGATACCAAGGATGTCCTATACGTGTATTCCACTATTTGATACTAGAGTTATAGTTTAGAAGTTTCAAATCCAACACAATCGGTCATCGGGAGTGATAGCCAACCTTACGAGGGTAATTGAGTATTGATAGAGGATTATCCACTCTCGGTATCATAAAAGGAATATCTTATGTGTTCTTGCTTCAGCAAATCCTTGGCCAAGGTCATTCGAATTGAGAGAGAAATGAGTTCTCTAGAAGAATCCGATTAGAGTGAAACTCGAGTAGATTTCATATGGGCTTGACAACACCAGGTATGGTATACAATCCTTGAAATATTAGATAGATGAGAGACTATAGAAGCATAGT